GACTCGGTTCTTTTTATGGGTTTTGTTGTATCGTCGGCGGGTATTCGGGTGGATGACGGCAAGATTGCGGCAATCAGGGACTGGCCGACTCCTTCCACGGTTACTGAGGCCTGGAGCTTTCATGGCCTCGCTTCCTTCTACCGGCGATTCATTTCTCATTTTAGCTCTATCATGGCCCCGATCACAGATTGTCTCGCCGGAAAGTCTTTTGTCTTGACCCCCCAGGCGGCCGCGGCTTTTGCATTGATTAAGGAGCGTCTTACCTCGGCTCTGGTCCTGGTGTTACTTGAATTCTCTAGGCCCTTTGAGCTTTCCTGTGATGCTTCTAAGGTAGACATTGGTGCAGTTCTGAGTCAGGAGTCGCGTCCGGTGGCGTTCTTCAGTGAGAAAATTTCAGGACCCCGACTTCGTTATAGTACTTATGACATCGAGTTTTATACTGTGTACCGGGCGGTCCACCATTGGCAACACTACCTTTTTCACCGAGAGTTTATTCTCTTTTCTGATCACGAGGCTCTGCGACATCTCGCTTCCCAGGACAACATCTCTTCTCTCCATGCCATGTGGACTTCCTTTTTGCAGCAGTTCACTTTCGTCTTGAAACACAGGTCAGGCGCTTCTAATAAGGTGGCGGATGCTCTTAGCCGGCGATCCATGTTATTATCTGATTGGCGTGTTGAGGTGGTAGGGTTTGATGTTCTTCGTGACTTATATGCTTCTGATCCCTTTTTTGGCCCTATTGTTTCTCTCCTTTCCTCTGGCCCGTTTGAGGATTATGTGTTGGTCGATGGGTTCTTGTTTCGTGGCCTCTATTTATGTGTTCCGGATGGTAGCCTGCGCGTGAAGCTGGTGGCTGACTTGCATGGTGTTGGACATGTCGGCCGAGATCGTTCCGTGGAGCTGGTCTGTCGGTCCTTCTTCTGGCCTTCCTTGCGCCGGGATGTGTCTCGTTTTGTCGAGCGTTGTCGTATTTGCCAGGTCTCTAAGAATGCGTCGACTAATGCGGGCCTCTATCGACCATTACCCATTCCTACTCAGCCTTGGTGTGCCATCAGCATGGATTTTGTGGTTGGGTTTCCTCGCACTCAGCGAGGATTTGATTCTATTTTTGTGGTCGTGGACCGTTTCTCTAA